ACCGCCCCACGACGCTTGTTAGTTCTAAGCCCCCTGTGTCGTCCATAGCCACTTCTGCCGCACCGGCCACCAGTCATGGCGTGAATCGCAGAATATGCTTCGAAACTTCTCCATTTTCGAAGTTTATTTTGTATCTATCACCATTTCTGAGCCGTTAACGAGTGTTCAATATTTGTGTGGATTTATTGGTGGTCTGTTTGTTCTTTTCTTGTGTCCGTCCATAATGGTAAGAAGTTCCGTAGTCGTTCTAGGTAGACCTTAGTGCAGTCGCTACATGTGCCTTTGTAAACAGTCTCTAGTTTTATCCACCTGGAGACTGTCCCTCAACTATACTACTGCGGACAATGTGAATGACAGTTCTGAATCAGTCGACCTGAAACTTAGCGGTGTTCGATCACCAATGAAGACGATTCCCCATCATAAGTGGTTTAGATATGAGGTACACAGTCCAAGCCGGCCAAAAGTCCGACTAATTTCAACCCCTTAAATAAAGCACCATAGAGCCTATAAATTCATTCAGACCACACGAACTTTTCACGTGACACTCAGGAGGAACCATCTGAAGTGCTTTGAACCAGAAGGTCACTAACCCTTACCCGACCAAAATGAATTTAGCCCCTACAAAACTCAGTCGCCCCACAATAGCCAACAAGACCATTTAAAAGGCTGATCAAAACAGATTTGGCTGACTGTTTCCCGTCCATCTTAAAACTCGGATATCCTAGTAGTTTAGTTGGAAGCCAGAGGGATTGTGTATCAAAGGGAAAATGGGCTAGGTTTTTAATCCACCGTTTGCCAACCAAACCCTTCTCAAAGCTGACTTCTCAATTGGCTTCAAACCACTTCCGATGGTCACACCCTCTCCAAGTGAAGTTTGATCGAACTATTTTACCGAGTTCTCGAAAGCGTACATGAAGATTCGCCCACAACCAAGTGGAGCAACAATCATGCACATCAGTAGCAATGCTCCACTTTTGCAGGCAGACCTATGGTTGAGTTGAGTGAAAAATGATATTTCCCTATAAAAAGTTTATGGCTGTCTGTCTGTGACTCACTTTGATGCTTAAGATCATAAAGGAGTGGACACTTTTCCGATTACCGCGTTGCACGATACTCGAGTTAAGAATTCGCTCTCGGTGACGGAAAGGATTTTACTTTCATTTGAATACTCCCTACAAACTCAGGTTGGGACAAAAGCCTTGTGTCACTTACTTTTATAACATATGAAAGTCCTAGCTCGGCTGCAAGATAATCTAGCGCAAAAGTCCATCTTACAAATAAGAGTGTATTACGTCAATTTCTCCTTCACTAGTAATCTTGTTAAGATATATTTTATTCCATCGCAAGGCTGTTCATCACTCTTTTGGAAACTTAGTTATACGAGATAGATCCTGATCCACCACAGTGATGGGATTCACTCCTGAACAGGTTTGAATTGGATTCGCCCTCTGAAATCCTTTTTTGAGAAAGTCAGTGTATTGTGCACGGTACTCCGATGGAGCGGTCGAACCGTCTTGAGCGAGGACATTGCTATATGCTCTCCAGTTTGCAATATATATTTCTGGAAAGCTAAAAGGTGTCAAATCCGGTTTAATTTGCGCAAGTTCCCGATAGTATTCACCATCTTTATTAGTCGCGATATTATGTAGAGGTTTATCCATACAGCCTCCTTCCACACTAACTCCCACAGCATTTGAAATGCAAGGTCACGCCGATACAGCCTGATTATTGTATTTTTCTGTGTTCCGATTGGCTCTTCTCTACTGGCATATGATTGGCTATTAAGAGATTTAGAGGATGCAGTTAGGAGTCGATGAGTTAAAGTCAATACTGTCAGAATTTTCGTCCTCAATATTAATTGTTTAACTTCGCCAACCGAAATGATCTCAGTGGCTGAATTTCGATGAAGCACCATCATTTCAGTACGCTAGCCCCTCTCATGAAGAAACATCTCAAGTTTTCAAACCTACCGAGACGTATAGTTTAACGCTTCCCAGCCTTTCCCTGCCTGCAGATCCCGAATCTCTAGTAACACCAGAAGGTTGGGACGGTACTAGCATGACTAATGCAGTATCACATGCGCTTTTCAGTTGGGTTCCGCAAAATGACGTGAATATATTTGCAGTCTATGTGAATTTCCCAAGAAAGGCTCGAGAAAGCGAACGTCCTTTTTTGAATCCAAAACCTCATCTCATTTCAAGGGGAAAATGATGTCCACTGGTAACGCGTATGCTGAAAAAGATCAAGTTCTATTAAGGAAAGTCAGTGACAGTCCGCCCTAGAATGCGATTAAGCCTCATTACCCTGACTGCTATCATTGGACACTCCTCATTGTGGTGATACAGCAAAAATGCTTATTTGAAAATGGTTTTGTTCGTTTCTCCATTTATTAATCGGTTAGTTGTTTCAGGGGACAAGATGGCTCAATGGTTACCACGCGAATTCGCTGACCGGAAGAACCGTGGTCCGAACCCGACCTCTGCATCTCAACTTCCCGCGTCTCGACTGAGCAACCTGGCAATATCCCAGTCCTCGTGCTTCCTACGGATGACATGGCCGCTTGGCACCGAAGGGGTGTTACAGTTGAACAATTTTGTTTTATTCCACTATTTAGTTGTTGCAGTTGGCCAATCCTTATTCCGACACATTTATGAGTTTCTGTACAGTGTCTTTACGCAGATTCGGTTAACAGTAATTTACTGGTGTTGCTCGTGTTTTGTGAGTTATTCTATAGGGAAGCTTTGTGTCTCACACTTGGCCATCTTAAAAGACTTGTGAAAAGCATAAGGACTTTTTCTTTTGGGATAGGAGCCTGGGGTATGTATCAGTGTATCGGAATCCACAAAACTGAAAAACGAGCCGTAATGGATACCAGCCCAACCTTACTTTTTTTGTTTCATCCGCGCAAAGGCTTTTCGCAATCGCGTGGATTTTACGTTAGTTTGACACCAACTGGTCTGCCTTTTAGTTACTTATAGATCTTGTTGACCAGAACACTGCCGAATGAGTCCGATACCGCTTGCAATCGGTTCTCTGGGTGTATTGTATTGTATTGAATGGAAATAACTGCATCAGAAGGTATATGAAGACTGGTGACGTGATTGGTTCAACCACTTGGTAATAAAATTACACCATGCGCAACTTGTTAATGAGTATCTGGGGGAGCATTCCGGAAATCGTTCGGAAACTAACCGAAGGGAGCCGTTTGAGTAGCCAACTAGATAGACAAGACTAGTCCGCTGGATATTCTTGCCAAGGCCTGATGCAGAGTATCTGAACACCTGAAGACCAGCATTTTTGTGGCGGGTTGTGACATTACGAAAGACATAGCACTGAGGTTTTCGTCTACCGACTTGACGCGAGTAGTTTCGTTTGTGGGCATTTTGCGCGACTTCTTCATTAGCTTTTTTCGTCCTGTTACTCGAATTGAGCACCTTTGTCTTAGCTTTGGACGAATTGCATCAAGAATCCTCGTAATGATAGCAAAAAACGGTGGTTCCTGATGGTCCGGACGTTCTTAGCCTGACTACGAAAATGAGGTTTATGGGAGGAGTACAGTTCACCGGTTATGGTCACTGTTCTAAAGTTTGACCCAATTTTCAGTTAGTTAGTCGACTGGCGTATTTGTTTATCCTACCACCTCTACTCGTATATCACTATCTTACGTCGTCCCAGCTGCGGCCGGAAAGCGGCCTGATTCAGATCAGCCTAAATTTGTGAAACTCTGCTTCAGATGTCGTTTTGTTCACACACTCCAGTTTGCGATGGGCGAATATTTTATTACATTTACCTATTCGAGAAAATAACGAAAACTGACTGATCGCCTTCCTGGCAGTGAAGACGATGAAGTGTTTTCTCATCTACATCAGGAGAATTACTTATCGGGAGATCGAAAGAAAATAAAGCCGGATGCAAGAATGAGGTTTGACTCTCTAGGCTTCCGCAAGCATGGTCCCGAAAATGAACTGTAAGGTTTTCATGTTTTGGAGATCTCGATGAATGTACGAATATTCTTGGTGTCTTGGAAGTGGTTAAGATAAGCTGAATGCGGAGTCCCGACTTCCTCAGTCAAATAGAACTCCTCTCCCGACTTACACTAAAATAATGGTGTATTTTCCCGTGGACAACAATGTATAAAAGTATTTAATTGCCTAGAAACGTACAATGATTGTTTTGTGTATAAAACTTGAGAAGGTTTGTAGGCTTTAAACTCCATTACAGGCATCCAGTGTTTGACCATTGTGTCTAGAATCTGGCTGGCAAGTAATTCTCCTCGTAGTATCTTTTGGGATCTAAAATAAAAGACAGAGGGGACAAAAGGTTGGGCAGATTAACCTGTTGGCTAATTAGATGTAGGAATGTGTTCATATTTGTAAAAGAACTTTATGAACAACCAAAAACACTTTTGAATCCATAAGTGGCCATCTTCCCGAAGAATTGAAACTGCTTGTTCGCTCGCATTTATCTCGTGAAGTTGTTTCTTATTAGAATAAACAAAAATCATGTAATATCCACCTTAGTTGGATGATGCTTGTCCACATCGTGATTTCCATAAGACTTATAGTGGTTGGACTTTGAAACTTTTTCCAGGTCAAAAGCGCTGATAGTTCTGTTAAGGTGACGAACTACAGAAGCTGGTGGGTAGAAATCACACTCATTTCCTTACTGAGCATCACCTAGTGATTACGAGGGTTCTTCAGCCAATTGTTTGTGGAGGTTTTGGGTGGCTCCAGGATGGATTCCACGTGAGCTCCCCATGTTCGCGGCTGGAGACGCCACAAGATATGGCTGCTAATCGATGTCAATAAAGTTTCTGTTGAACACAAATGTTATGCTGTCGCTGGCGATGATGACCAACCCACAACGGTAGTCAGCAAGATCCGGGTATTGTACATCCAAGGCCACTGTCCAAAGATGACCTACGCAATGCTATCGCACTGGTAGTTCCCTGGGTGCCCACCTTTTGAATAGACGATTTATCGATAAAGATCACTTACTTCTGACATCTCACAAATTTACTCTGGAGTAAAGGCGTTCAAATAAGTTTTGATGTCCCATAAAGGATCATTTATATGCCTATTTCTTATCAATCTTCCCAGAAGAAAACTAGTTTTTCCGTATTTCAACAACGAACAATACACTTTGTCCTGAACCTCTCCAACTGGTTCAGCTTGCACCGAGTTCTCCTGGTTTCCAGTATAGTGGAAATTAAACTACGAACCATCGGTGCACAAAAACAATGTCGATCAAATCTGACTCATCTCAACACCTGCTCAAGCGCAAGTCAAATGAATCAGCAAAAGGCTTTTTACTGACATAGCGACTACCTTAAATGATCGTTCCCTGGGGTGGGCTTTATAAATAATCCACGAAACATATAGTTCCCGCTTCTGGTACAACTAAGAATCTGGAAGCTTTAGAAGCCACCTTTGAAGGTATGAGGGTGAATGAACCCTTTAGGAATTAGTAGGTGCACCAATTCAATTCATCGTTAGATGATTTATTATTGGTTGCCGAAAAAATCAAAACATCTTCTCCGGACACAGACGACAAAAATAACAAATACTTTGATAAAAAGGTTGTTCCTCAAAAATAGTCGAAAATTTTGAATTTTTAATAGGTCTTTTCTGGGTCGGATACCCTTACAAGTGGAAGTATAGTATTGTCCCCTTCTAAGTATGTTGGAGTTTATGACAATGCAGTATTCCTCTTATATTTTGTCTGAACACTCCTTCATCACGCCTACATTTCTGGAAAATTCATCTAGCTTTTTTCAGACCGAACGATGGCACTACTTA